CCCAACCCTTATGCTTTGTAACACTTCCCAACCTTCCCAAGAGAGAGTGCTAAACTAATGAAAGGACAAAAAAAGACAGGGAAATCATTGGATCCACAAATAATGCAAAAAGGTTAGTTGGGTGTTAATTAGTATTAGATTTTGAAAAAATTAATGAGAATGGGATCCTAATCTATGTCTTATGTCTCTCTTAGATAGCCATAATTTCAGGTCCCTAGGACTCAAAAATCCACCATCTGTTTTGACCCCACGAACATGATTCATGAATGGTTGCAGCTGCACTCAACCCTCTGTTTCTTAATTAATTGGCATCCCATATTTCCCTCATTCAAGTCTCTTTAGATTAATTTAACTAGTAAATAACTTAATATGAGTTTTATTTCTTCTTCTTTTTTTTTTTTGAAAGGGAGAGGAGTTTTATTTAGTAATAATGTTGAGATTACCACCCTGATTTGTTTTCTATTCCCATTTAGAGCAAAAGACATATAACCAATTTTTATTCAACTTATCAAACCCTAAACCTCCATCATCATTTATGATTAAAATTTAAAAGCACCTTTCTTAAACAAAGGAATAAAAACCACTTATAACTCATAGTATGCCCATGTGGAGTGGGAAATTTGTCAACTCATTGAGATTGAGTTAATCTCCACTAATAGCACTAGGGTTGTGAGAAGGCTTTTAAGGAATAATTTTTTATATAAAAAAGAAAAAAGAAAAAAAAGGATCATTCGATGATCCACAACTTATGTTATAGTCTAGGTTTTATTATATCTAAGTGTCTATTTGATCTATATATATGCCACTCAATATAGATTAATTAATCAAGTGTAATTAATCTATCATTTCCCTTAAACGGATTAATGGTGGTGATCGCCATGTTTTGAGGCTTAAATGAGGATTGACTATATCTCCACTAACTAGTTTTTAAAACAACCCTTGTAATCATCATCATGCATATATACATACACATAGTTATGAATTGAAAACAAAGAATATTGCAATTAACCTAAGGGTCGAAAAGAACAAAAACTTTGGGCCAAAAGTAAAAGAAATGATGCATTTCATTAGCCATCGGAGGCATCAAAGTATCCTTATATAAATAGAAAATTTTGACTATACATAATAATGTTGATATCAAAGTTTAATTTAGAGAAAGAGAGAGGGAGAGGCGAAGAGGAGACAATGGTGGGACATATTTGGAGTTGTGGTGAAGACTTTGGAAGAGGCTTTTGATTAATACATCTTAAAATTCATATTTTTTTAATGCTTTTCTAAGTCACCTTTCTTTTTTGCTTTCATCTCATGTGTTGTAGTTAGTAAGATTCGGAAAGATCTCTCCTATACTAAGAAATCCATATAAAAATTAGGGGATTTCAACGTCAATCACGCAAACATCCTAAACAAATAATTCATCATCACCACGTAATGGTAGGACCAAAGTTTAAGTTGTAACACCTGAACATTCAATTCATATATACCACCTTTCAAACCACTTGTGAAATACTAGTAGTTTATAGTTTTAGGTTAAAATTACTCCAGTGACCCCTTTAACTTTGATCCATGTCTACTCCGCTCTCTTAATCTCAAATTATTTCATTTCAGCTCGCTCATATTGTAAGAGTATGTTTTAATTGGTCGAACATCAATTCGTGATCCGTCTACAACGTGCATTTTATGTGACACGCCAAGAGTAACGGAAGGAAATAGAAATCAAACAAAATTAGAAGCCTTACATGTGTATCTATGATGTAACGAAAGAAAAAGTTAAACCGATAGCGTTCTGGTAATGGAAATGTGATTATATCTTATTTTAGTTATAGTTTAATGGATCAAAAACTCCACTGAAAACGTTTTAGACAATTCATTGCAACTGATGCCAAGTAATCTGCTGGAAAATTGGATTCACCGGAAAAGTAGAGGGCTACTAATTAAAGGTCTAAAGAAGTAGAAGGATTGAAATGTAAACGAAGGTCTAATTTCAGTTCAATGTCAAAACATATGAGTAATGCTAGATACGCAAAATGGATACGAAAGTGACACGTGGGCCAGAGAGAGGTGATTAAGTTGGGCCGACGACGGTGCTAGATGTGGATCTAAGGGTTAGATGATTAATGATGGAGGGTCACATTAGGGGTATTATGATCATTTTGCCCTAATTATTAACACCCAAAAGTAGGGTTTTCAGTAATATATAAAAATAAAAATAAAAAATTTGGGGGTGGAGGAGGAGGGGGTGGTTTTACGGTTGCATGCATGGGGCTGGGGCTGGGGTGTTTTGACTTAGTGCCTAAAAATGACAAAAGAATTAATTAAAAGTTTCGTGAGAGAGTGAAAGTGAGAGAGATAGGGGAGGTTGGTATCTGTCGGCCCTTATGAGTTATGAGAGATTAAAGCCAATTCCCAATTCCAGGGGGGTTGAAGTGAATATCAAGGGATAAATGAGTGTGTTGGGAATTCATGGCAACAAGAAAAAGTACTTAATTGGGGTTTTCATAAAGGTTGGCAAGTTTAATTTATAATATTCTGCACATTCTATCTCTTTCACAAATAATTACACCGAGATTATTAGTTTCATATTTTCTCTGTCACTTTTGTATCGTATGATATATACACGTAATATATCGATTCACTTCGAATTAAACGGAGACATTTTTAATTGTGTTATTAAGTCATGTACTCTGTTTAGTTCAAAGTGATTCATTATTTTGGAAAGATGGAAATTGTGTAATTTAAATGACATGAAGGATATCATGCTATTTAACAAATAAGTGCTTCTTTAAGGATGTGATTATTGATTTTGTAGAAGTCTTACTCCTGAATTAGGGTTTTTCTTCTTCTTCTTTTTTCTTTTTTAGTTATTTCACGAGTGAGGATTCGATCATCTTCCTATTTTATTCAATTTCCAAATGTAGTCTTCATTTGTGTTTTATTACTTTCCTCGTTTTGCTTCTAACGTCACAACCCTACTTGCGACCGTTGCCATTATATCTATCAAGTCATCATGTAAACAGGTTTAATTTATTCTATATCTCTAAGTCTCGAATGACTTCTTAAGGTATCTATATTTAATTTAATCTGCGTACGTGAAATTGTTCTTATCATGTGAGTAACCATTATTACTAAACCAAAAAAAAAAAAAAAAAAAAGAAGAAAAGAAATGGGAAAACAAATAAAACATGTAAAGTACTTCTATATATCTAAGAGTTCTCTTGCGGTACGTAGTTGGCGTCACAAAGTAGTGTCGACTAAAAAGACATGGGCGTCACGGTAGTTCATTGGATATCGTTCCAAGTTCCAACTCCATACATATATTTGTCTTAAATTCTTTGATCCATGCATATGAAACTCCCAGAAACCCAGAGGATTCAGTAGTTCAATTTGTATTTAAAATGGTTACATTTGTTTTCACATACGTACTTGTCCACTTGTAGGTGGAGATTTCTGTGTATAACTTACATGCTTACTCAATACTGCTTTTTTTTTTCTTTTAATATTGTGTAGAATAATTATATCGCTAAGGAGATGATATCATGTAATTAACATGATCAGTGAATTGTGGGATCCAATCCCTAGTTAACCTTATTAACCAACTATCGCAATTTCATTCCTTTTCTTAATCACTTAAAAAAAATATAGTATGCTACCTCAATCATACCCTATTGGAATTAAGATTTAATTCAACTGTGAATTTTTTAACCTAATTGATAATTCGGAAGGAAGGTGATTTTGAGTGTTACCTAATTGTAGATCAATCGAAATGCAAGATGGCTTTCCATTTTTTGGTGCTTGAGGTTGACCGTAAATCTCTGCGAGGCAATTATCAATAGCTAGGGTGTGAAAATCAGCTTAATTTCTTTTCTTCTTCTTTTTTTTTTCACTTGGTAATCAAACCATGTGAATTGATCTTGCTAGTTTCTTTTCACCTAGCTAGCTAGCTATTGTATGAGTAAGCACCATTAACCTTAATTAGGTTTTCATGTCATGATATTCTGTGGATTTTAAATGATTTCATTCGGGGTCATGATATTTTAACACCATGATTGAAAGTGAAAAACAGCTAGGAGTTATTAGAACTGTTTGATTAATTCATCAAAAATATTAGGAAATGAAGAAAAGAAACAGTGATTTACATAAAAAACATTGTACAAATCCAATCATTTAAGTTCTCAACAACCCTACAAGATTCACATGCATCACATTTCTTTAACCCTACACCCCACACTTCTTTGTACAAACAAATTAATCAGAAAAAAAAAAAAACACTTGTTTATAGCAATTTCCCAAAACACTCTACTAATTCAATCTTTTCATTTTTCTTTACCCACAGTAGACAATTATATTACGTCAATTGAATTCTTTTATCTATTTACTCATGTCTCTACATTCGTCGTTCATTAATCCATAATAGGAGCTTAAAATGTTTGTCTTATATGTTGCGCCTACATTAATCGCAGACTTAAATATTATATTATCATTAATTCATTTATTGAAGTGGTAGATCGTGATAAAACTAGATCGTTTAGGTTCTGTTTGTTTCCACTTCTACTATGGTTTTTTTTTAGAATTAAATATTAATAACTATCACATCCTATCATAATTTTTTACATTTCTAATACACGTCTTTAAATTCTCAATAAAAAAATACTTAAAAATAGATATAAAAAAAAAACAAACAGAGCCTTAATGTTATAGAAGTATGAAGTCAATAATAAGTGTGACAGGAGAAGTGATACATAAACGATGTCTTCAATGTTGTTTCACACCACTGCAGAAAAAGAAGAAGCAATAGAGGGCATATAAGTCAAATGAGTTGGGTTTAAGTGCAAACTAGCTAGCTAAGATGTTGTTAATTGGAGAAGATAATGTGCTAGTACAAAAGACAAGGGCAATCCATTGGGTCCCCAAGTGTTTCTTGGGTCGTGTTCCCAATTTTTACACTTACTTTCTTCTCCTTGGGATGTCCGCAACCATCTCTCTCTCTCTCTTTAAAACCTTTATTTTTCCTTCTTCACTTCCTTTAACCTTATTCTTCTTTTATTCATCTATGAAAATAACCCAAAAAAAGCAAAAATAAATAAATAAATAAAAAGAAAAAGGAAAAATGATAATGAAAACGAAAGCCCCGGTTAAACTGGTATATATATATATCTCCCAACTCATGCAACATCTCCCTTGAAGCTCCTCCAAAAATAAAACACATTTCCCATATTTCTTTCCTCGTATTTTCTCTCTTCTCTTTATTAATTGCACTCTTCACCTTCAAACTCGATCTGACCCTGTGTTTTTTTGTCTCTTCAAATATAACAACAACAACAATATATCCCAAAACCAAAGTGTTAGATTTTTTTTCTTAGCCATATATGGCGGAGCTAGATTACAATCAAAGTAAAGCTTCAACCAACAACAATGGACGTTTAAAACTCTTTGGTTTCAACGTGACGGATGAAGAGGAAGTGGAGTCAACTAAATCACCATCCGGGTCACCGGAATCCGGCAGCGGTTTTCCGACCTCCGACGGCCGGAAATACGAGTGCCAGTATTGTTGCCGGGAGTTTGCGAACTCGCAGGCCTTGGGCGGCCACCAGAACGCTCACAAGAAGGAGAGGCAGCAGCTGAAGCGCGCTCAGCTTCAAGCCAGCCGGAACGCCGCCGTGTCCTACATGCGGAACCCGATCGTCTCCGCCTTCGCTCCGCCCCCGCACCTTCTCGCCCCGGCGGGTTCGGTGGTGCTGCCCGCGGCTGGGCCGACATCGCCCTCGTGGGTTTACGTCCCACGCGCCCCGCCGCCTTTCCACGTGTCGCATGGGTGCGTGTTCCCCACGTCCGCCGCGAGTGGGAGGAGCCTGACGTATTCCGGCAGCGTAGCGGATTCGAACAGCTTGACGAGTGTTGGGCCGCAACAAGTCAAAGCCCACAGTGGGAGGCTTGATGGGCCTTCCTTGAGCAGGTTCTCTAGAACGGATGACGGGCCGGGTTTTGACGATACATTTGGGTTGGATTTACATCTGAGCCTCGCCCCAGCCGCGCCGTGAATTCAAATGGCTTGGACTTTTGGCTTGACCAATCGGCTTGGAAGAAGCTGCCAGGAGGTGGGCTGAGGATGGCATTGAGTTTTGAACTTGTTCACAAAAATTCACCTTCGGCCAGAAACGGACCCACACAGGTCGTTGAGTAGGAATTAATTTGAGTGTGGTATGTATCCGTTGAAATTACTTCATGCTTCTTTGTAAAAAGAGAAAAAACGAAACACAAAAAAAAAAAAAAAATTAGACGATCATGACTCGGCTTGGCTAGGCTTTGTTTATTTGGAAGAAAAGCTGCTGATCTTTAATTTATTCCAAGTCTCCTAGTCTTCTTGTAAATTTTTCAGATTTATTTCATTTTTTTCCCCCATCAGAGAGAAGAAATATTTTACTATTGTGAAATCACCATTTTCTCCTTCATTTTCTGCTTGAGTTTGAGTCCAAAGGTGTACGTGCATGTAAAATAGGTATGCCCAATGAAGAAGAGAGAAGTAGGGTACAAATGTATGGTGAAATGATTTAAACAACTCTAAGTAGGACTACCCGTTGTCTGATAACGACTTTTTCTTTAGTTTGAGGAGTTTAACATTAATTATATGTACGTTGCATAGCAAATTACTATACAACTAACACTATATTTGAATGTTTTATTCTTCCTGGTAGTTATCGTTACTTTTATAACCTGGAAAGAAAATAAATAAATAAAAATAGAGGATTCGATTTTTGTCTAGAACTCAAATTTGGATCTATTGGGATTTGAATTCTTTATAACTACCTAACTTTGACAATTTCATGTGTTTTGAGTAGTGTCTTCAAGGAAGCTAATAATGGAAAAGATCCGTTAGCTGGTGACAGAAATTAATCAATTCGTTTTGGTGGTGTGTTTACTGAACGTCTAAAAAAATAGTCCACATTGAATTTTCAAATTTGTATTAAAAACAGTACAAAACTTAAAACTCAATGTGGACTATTTTTATGGATCGGAGGGAGTAGTATAATGTATAAACCCTATTATTATTATTTTGGGACGGGGCACTTCATTTCAATTTTATTTTAAATATTCGGTCAGTGAAAGTTGTGGAAGTTTATTGAGAAATTCCCTCAAAGAGTATTGTCATTCTTTATTTGGAAACAAGTTCTTCATCAGATCATATCACCATGACGATCAGTTGTCGAAGGTGAAAGACCTTAAAGAAAAATGAAGGATACGTACATATTAACCATCTTGTTTATCAGTTACTGAAATTGATTAGGTTTATTATCAGTGTATATATATATAGAGTACTTAATTTGGCCCTTTTTCAGACAAATCATATTCTATGTTATAATTTGTGAATTATAATGTTTCCCGTACAATTTTACAAATTACATTGTGGATTATTTTTGTAGGACGGGATGGGTTAAGTATCATACAAAATCATGATTGTGTATAATCATTATGAGCGACTGCAACTCTACGAGTATTTCGTGCCCTAGTTTTATTCTCAAGTATACAGCTTCCACAATCCACTAGAGTAATAAGTGACTGCAACTCAACAAGTATAGATGCTTGATAGCCAGAGTAGTACTTCGTCTGCCAGTTGAAAGTGCGTAACGAATAACTTTGTCATAGGAAACACTGGAAATGAAATGCAGAAAGTCTAAGCACTAGCTAGATGCATGGTAGTGTGTTCAATCTAAGAGATATTCATGTTCATAAATTACTTTTTTCGTATCATTTCAATAGCTGGTTTGTTGAAATGCGATGGAGGAGGAGCTAGTAATTTGTTGCATAAATGAATAATTAAGTTGCACATTTCTAGTCCTCTAGAAAGACTAGACTAATTTCTTAATTTCTTCAACAAAAAGAAATACAATTTCTTGCATCATGTCACTCTTTTTCTTTGATTACTTACTCATGTACTTCGTGGGTCCAATACACACGATTTTCACTAGTTTTTTCCGTAGCTTTAAGATTAAGATAGATATAGATTGGATGAAATGGATGGTAACCCAACACAAGAGTCAAACAGTACAATATATAATGTCCTTTTTATATAGGCCTTAAAATCAAACAAAATAGTACAACAACAAAGGAAGATTCCAAGTTATTTAAGTAAATTGCTTTCAAAACTAAAGCCCAACCAATATTTCAAAAGGTGATGATCAAAAGAAAGATTTGAGTATTTGTTGAGAAATTATTTGTAGGGGCAAAGGAACATGTTAAGAATTTGCTAGCTAAGCTAGCTAGATTTGTAGCTTTTTTAAAAAAATTTATTTTCTTTTATGGAGTGAATGAGGTCTTACGTAGGAGTCAACAGCCAATGAGTTTTGAGTTTAAGGAAGCTTGCGTGTAAGCACTAATGGGAACAAGATAATGCATCATATGATATAGAAGTTGAGTTGCCTCTTAAAAAAGCCAAATGAAGCACCTTATTTGATGCTTCATCTTCAAGTTGCCCACATTCACTTAAATCAACTCAAACAACAAATGGGGTCAAAAAGGTGGAGTTCTTCTTTTCGGTGCATTAGAATTTTCTTCTTTTCTAATAAAAAAAATTGCTAGGATTTTCTTAATTGTTTTATTTTATTTTTATTTTTATTTCGTGGGGGGTGGCTTTGGGTTTTTATTTATGGTCGGCGCTTATGTACCTGATTCAGATGCAGTGCATGCAGCGCGCTGTCCATACATGTTCGCCATGGGCTTTTGCTTCTTTGTGCATTTGTGGTTTCCGGGATGGTGCTGCTGCTGATCATGTTGTTGTTTACTGTTTTAGTAACTTACATTTGTTGTCTTTTCATGGATTTAGCTAATCTAGGGTTTGATGGACTTGATGGTCAGGCGGATAGCATCATCTTTTAACTCATTTTTATGGATTCCGATTATTATTCGTAACATCATACTGTACATATCAGTCTCATAAAAAGAACTACCTCTTTACACATATTCTTGTTTTGTAAAAGAATTATGAATATTATTTTGAGACGAATAAAATACCATATAAAAATTCAGTTACATTACTTATCTTACTTTTCTCACTTTTCTCTTGGGGTCTTTCAAGGGACATATGTAGTATTGGATATATAAATTCGGGTTCATAAGCGTTACATATGAACATAAGAAAATATTTGTATAGTGTACGTAACTAGAATATATAATCTCTTGGGCATTAATTATGTCTTCTAATGCTTGAGTGATGTTTAACAATGCTCGTAACACTAATAATTAAGCTTCAATAATGTTGATTAAACACCTACCTATATATTTTTTTATAGAGTTACTATCTAGATAATGAATTGTGGGGACAAATTAAATAGTGGATGTAAGAGTACTTCCTCAGTTTGGATTGGATGCTTTTCTTGTCTTTTGACACTTGTGTGACACTAAAAAGATTGTTGTGATCCAAGAAAGAAGGGAAAAGAGAAGTAGGGTTTTTATTTTTAAAATTTTCTTGACATTAATTTTCTTTTCAAGCAAACATCATAATGGAGTTGAGTACCTTAAGCACTTGAAAAAGGTTATCGTATTCTTCTTCTAAGAGCCCTTTTTGACAAATAGGGTTACATGAGAGAATTTTTTGAGTTTAATTTGCTAATTGAAAGCTAAGCCAACAAACAGAAGGAAAAAGTGGTTGTTGAGACAAAAATAGAGAGGAAAAACAAGTCTCATTTCCCACAACTTTGCCTAATCAAAACATACAAATCTAGCTAGCTGTTTTTTTTTTTTTTTGGGTCCCAATTAAGATGCTAATAAGCTTCTTCCTTCATCAGTGCATTTTTTAAGTGATGTAGACAACCACTTTCATCATTCTAATCAATAAACCAAATCTCTCTTTTCCCACATTACTTTTGTCATAGGTGGGACTTTCTGATGATGATGATGATTCAAGTTGTTTTAGTGTACAAACAAAAGGGAGTTTGAAGTTTATATATGGCTAATATATGATCATCATGTCATCTGCCGACACTTGTATTTGATTCTGTACATTTATTTCTCCTCCCTGAACTACAAAACTTCCATCCATTATCAGATCTTTTTTTTTTCTAGAAGTTAAATATTATTTTACACCAAATCTTTGATTGATATAAAATTAAAAGTCTCGTAACCACATTGTTCACCCACTTCCGCAATTTGTTTTTCATAAAAACATCCTGTTTCTCAAAACCCTAAAAAATATCTTCACCAAATTTTTCTTGAGTATCTTGTTTCATACTCCTTGTGCTCCAATTTCAGTGTCTTAAACTAAAATAGTATTTTTTAAAAAAAAAACTAAAATAGTATTATAATAAAGTAAATTATTAAAATAGAGTGTAGAAATATATTCTTTTTCCCCCGGTTTTCGCCTCCCTAAAATAACTGAGAATTTATATCTTCATTGCATATTGTCAGAGGGTTAAAAAAAATAATCGCGGCTACCCATCACCTGTTAATGTGGCAAAGTACAAATGTTCATGACCAAGAATTAGAGACCATATGACCTGAAAATAAATTAATGAGAGTTGCTCACATGCCTTGTTCCTAACTTCCACTGTATGCATGTCCCAAGCCTTTCCCTTAATCATTGTACTATAAGTAAACTAGTTCAAAAAGACAACTAACGACATGTCAAATTGATTAATATAACTGTTCTGAGAAACTGTACGAATGTAGTTAGATTTATCGGGAAAAAAAAAATACTCCTCATCGATCGTGTGTGTGTGTGTATATATTTTGTAGAGTAATGATATAGATAATAAATTTATCAATTAACTAGCGTATATATTCTATATAAATATAAATATCTTTTTTTTCCGTCGAAGAAGAATTGATAATTTAATATTTTTATGTCTCTCACATCGATCTCGTACTCGTTTACAACTTACAAGTTGTGGTGATTTGGCCAGCTAGGTTTGCTGGGATTGAGCATGACATGCATTGATCCAACTTGGCCTTTTCCTTTCTTTTCTTCCAGTTAAGTCAGATCATTGTGCCCTCAATAACCTGGTTCCATCAGGGACCAATCAAAAGTACCAAATTGGCGTAAATTTTGCCATTAAATGATGAACTCTCAAATTCCTTGTTGTTAGTGCTTTGACGTAACTCATGTAACTGTACCAATCATTCACTACCAATTTTGTGTCTATATTCTTACGCACATGTATATATATCATTGGCATATAAAACTGTAGTACGAAGTCCCCCTATCTATCTAATAATAAATTTAACCTAATGAATGACTAAGTACCAGCACAACCTTCTTGATTGTACTGAAATTGATTTTATATGACCTCAATGAATTAATTAATACTACACCTAACCTTAACAAGGTACTGAATTAATTTAATTAAATGCTAGTGGTGAATGTTGTGGCGGAAAGGGTATAAACACAACAAACCACGGAAGCGAACCCCAAGAAAATCTCCTTTCCTACTACCAATAAAATAGGACAACCACCCAAACAAGCAACTAATTCAAGAACTGATAAAATAAAGGAGGCACACGAATTTACGTGGAAACCCAAATCGGGAAAAACCACGAGACTGTAACAACAGTCAAATCTCCACTATCACAATAATGGGAAAACAGTCTTCACCGACTGGTGGATACACAGGACTTCACCCGAAGGTGGATTACAACAATACTCTTACACACACACCTATCA